ATAGAACCACAATGGCGTATTCAATATCTGAAAGGTAAACAACGACCAATATCAATAGCTTTTGAGTTTGCATAAAACATTTAAAGGAAGCAAACTATGTGATAAACGAAATTAAAGGTACCGGAATTCAAAATAACGCAGCTAAGATGTACTTCCATTGAATAATTGTACTTTCTTTTAAGGGAACATTTGTGAAAACAAGGATGTGATTATGAAAAGCTTTTTTGTCTGTTATTGACAATGTAATAAGCCTCGTGCCGATTCACCACTCCGAGAGCGAGTTTAATAACTATGTTATCAACTGGTATATATTAACCATCACTTGCCGGCAGTCCTTTCAAAAAGCTTTAAAAACAAAACTAGGAAATAGGAATTACATCCGAGTGGGACAGAGGATATTTGATTGAAAAGTAACAATACGTATAATAGTATATAATACGAGGGCCAGCTTTGTGGGAGTTTATCATAACTCACTAAGGGCTTAGATATACGACGAGGTCTTTTCACTCGTAACAAACGTGAAAGTTGAAAACTCACGGATCAGTAAGGTGTGATGGAGAATCATAATCCAGAAGAAACCTTGGTGGCACTCAGGTAATTACATTTTTTGAGGTCTTCTTTTATTTAACTGCTCCCCTCTTAGAACGAAAAATGATTAGAGGCAATTATATTTATTTAATTCCCCTCATCGCAATCATGATGTTCGGCAACTTTAACAGGTTAATTTCTTACGGTATTGAGTTGACCGATAGAAATCTGTTTGCAGTAGTAACTCTCTACCTTAAAGGTAACCCCTTGAAACTGCTGTCACTTATTGCCACCGTGAAAATATTATTCTTGATGTAGCAATCTTCATTTTTAACTCTTGAATAAGCAACAAGACGAGCATAAAGCTTAACTGCTACCTCTCTAATTAAAAGCACACCTTAAACCTTTTCCTTGATTAATATTTAATTATTGAGATAAAGTAAAATGTTTGTTATGTCAGAAACACACGCAACTTAAGATAAGACTCGCTCCTTGTTCCAAATTTTGCCAACAGCCTTGCGAAAGCTTAGTGAGCTGGAAAGGAAACTTTCGAGTTGATAGGAACGCAGAGTTACATTATAGCTCAAGCAGGGCTACATAGATGTCACAAAGCCCTTTTCTTTCCACTTTGTCCATTTTTGTTTTTGGTTGAGGCTAAGTTCGGAACCAGTAACACGCTTGGGTACACTTCAGTGTGTCTTAATAAAATGGAAGATGAAAAACACGCAATAATTACAAGGATGATATTTAATGCATATGCACTGATCTTAAAACCCCAACAAAATGAAGGAATTTGGGAGGGAAATTTTTTGCTTCACTGTTTCGCCGAATTAGCTGAGCAGCTGAGAGCGGACATGCCTTAATTTGGTCGTACTGTGTTTTCAATTTCGTTTCCAGTAATTTCCTCAAATTTCAGAATACAAGGAGATCAAAGGAACGTTTTCATATAGCAACTCGCCTTTCTTCCTTGACTTGGTAAACTGATCAGGACTTGTGACTGTACAGCCTCAGTCTAGGGCATGAAATTTAATCCTTTCACTCCCAAGGGTGACCAATAAAGAATTTCTCCCTATAATATCAATACAATATCAAGCAGGCAAGAGATGAGAATTGAGAAAAATAATTACAGAGAAAAAAATTACTAATTACTAATGAGATCTTTGGAGTAACAGAGCTAAACAGACCGACCGTTGGGCTAAAATTGTGATATTCGCTTAGAAAAAATGCAAGTTGGGATCATGCAGTTGTTCACGATGGACATGGGTTCAGTGCCATTCCGTAACGATTGAGCGTTAAATTTAGATTTAATTTTTTTATCTTGTTTAAAAGCGCATGTGGGGGCGAACATTTTGTGTGGTATTAGCTTAATGTTACGTAAAACTAAAGGTTAGACCCATTCAAATATGACATTTAACCTGGACCGTTAATGGCCTTTTTAAAAACCCGGCAAAACACTATAAGTAAAAAAATTTATATGTTTCTTCAAGAGATTATATTTTCATTATTTCCTCTTGATTGCTTTTGTTGGTCTTTTGATTTTGTTCGGTCTTCCCACTTAAAACCAAATAAATTATGCTCAGTATTATTGCCTTCAAAACCTGAGGAAATACGGTTTTCTTTGGCCTTAGAATGATTTAAATGGTCAAGGCTGAATTAATATTTCGTAGTGTTTAAAATTCCGCATAATTTATCACATTTTAATCCGATAAAATCAAGTCTTAGTCATGTCTTTACCATGTGATCATTTTTGTTTTATATATATAAGTATTTTTTTTTAATTTCCCTCACTCTCCCCATAACAGTATTTTGATTATCATGTCTCAGCATTTTCTAGAAGTGTTTTTGCATGTCGCTTTCAATAATCAGTGGATTTCCTATTTAGGTTGTCGGTTTCGTGTTGAGGTTGAAGTAGAATCTTAAACAGTTTTAATGACCTTGAAATTGTGCACATATCTGAGAACTTTATATCAACGAAGATCGATTAATAAGCGTATAAAAGATACTATTGCATTTAAAGTACTTCTCTTAAGCTCAGAAGCAGTGCGTAAGGAATCCTGTCTCCATCTGCAAACGATAAAGCAAAACATGTGTACACGAACAATTAAAACTAAAAACACACACACAACTTAATTAAAGCTATACTAGTATTACTTAACAATTATAAATATTCTCGATGTAAAGAAACCTTTCTTGTTTAGCGTATTTGTTTACATTTAAGTAAAAGGGTAATTAATGTTTTGAGTATATTTCATTCATGTTTGTTTTCTAAGTTTTCCAACCAATAAAGAACGAATGCAAAACTGTCGTGGGAACAGATCATGAAATTTCGCACGTTCTCTTGTGTCTCATGAGCTCGAGTCAATAACATCCGTATTTTCCTTCAGTATTCCCTGGCGAGTGGACATTTACCACCGATTGCATTGTTTTCTTACTTCACACGAGTTTATTTACTTATTTCAACCTCCAGCTGGCGTTGTTTGGGCTCGCCAATTTTGAATTCATAAAAGCAGACAATATTTGATGAACTGCGAAGGTTTTTTGTCGTGGTTGCAACTTGAACAAATAGTCTTGTGTTTATTTGCATTTTTCTTCGGTTTCTAGTCCCTAGTTTTCGGTTTTCATGTCTCCATAGACACGTGCTGTATATCACAAGTTTCAGACCCCGCATTTAAGTTTATTCTTCATTACGAGGTTTCGCTCTGCGGTGAGTGTTTTTGCTTCGGGCTAAGGTAGCGTTTCTGCTCCATAGCCTTTCATTTTAATGATTTAATTTCCTGTACTTGTTTTCGAATAATAACTTCTTTACAAACGCTTCCTTTGAGGATAACAATGCAAACTACTGAACCGCGCTTCTGCCACATGGAAGACCAACAACGTAGAAATGTTAACAAAAAAAAGAGATAGCGGAAACTTCATGGATCAGAAAAGTTCCATGTCTCCCTTAGTAATTATTTAAAATAAAGATAATTTGCTGAGCGAAACAATAACTCCAAAGCAGCAATTCTTGCCGCCTTCCCGTCAACCGCGCTTCCAGATTTCCGAAACTCTTAAAGTTGCCCTCTCCGAAACCACAATGGCGGTATTTATACAATTGATTCATAATATTTGAATTGTATAATACTTCATTGTTTAAGAGGCTATTGAGCTCTTGTGCGGTTTAAATCACAAGTACCGACACAGGCAACCTCATTAACGTCACACATCTAAAACCAACACCACTGTTAGAGCGAGCGCCACACAAGGAAAGAAATTTTTTAGATAGTATCTCCTCTGAGGTTTGCAGATTGTTCTTAATTGGCCTGGTTATTAGCATTGTTGTTAACTCGGTAAAAACATTTACCGCCTTATCACAGGAGAAAGCGCGTTCGGCAAATGGCAGGCCCTGATGATTATTTCAGAGAACTTTTCGCTGATAAGATTTGGATACCTACTAATTACATTGGGAACGCACAACATAAACAGCGGCTCTTCGCTTTGGGAAAGAATCTAAAATGGTAGTCATTTTGACATTTAAGACTTGAAGAGGCGTCTCTTTACCTCTAACTTGGACCCATGGCGATTTTTATTTTAAACATTGCTTCAATAAGCCCCATGCTTTGAATTTTTCTCTTATAAGTGTTCCACAGAATAAAATTAACAAAACAAATTGGTTATAAGACATTTGAGAGATTGATAAAGCGTTTGCTGATTGAACTGTAATTATGATGCTGTGTTTTTTTTTGGTAATACAAGTTCTTTTTTTAAAAGCCAAGCAACAGCGAAGTTTATCTTTAAGTAGCAGCAGGTAAAATATAACACAAATAAGACCAAAACAAATCCATACGCCTCTCCGTTCATTCTGTTTCTAACTGTAAACAAGGCAAAATATTTGGGCACTCACATGCTCATAACTTTCCCTTCAGGGAAGATAAGGCGTTTCGAAAATTCACTTTTCATTAGGAGAATCCGTTCATATGTTAAAAGATGGGCGAGATTACTCGTTTCCTTGCGACAGACGATTATGGATTCGCCATTCGTCAATTTGCAAGTACGGAAATCTGAATGTTTCTTTAGCGAGTCATTTTGTCGGCAAGATCACAGCAGTCTTGCTCAGTGCGTCAGTCAATGAACACGAACCAATGAGTGGTTCTCTTTCTCAAAATGTGTGCCTTTGTTCAACCGACCCCTCCTTAAGCTCTAGACTAAGAAGTTTTGCATTTGGTTTCTTGAGATGATTTTTTCGACAAACTCCCTTTCCCCCTCTAAAGTTTGGTTTCATGTTTCACCAGAACAATTACCCTGAAGTAGATTTTTCCCTTAAGTGAGCATTAGGTGCTAATCGCTATCACAACTCATCGCCACTTGAGGTTGTCAAATCATTCAATTAATTTGGATGACAATTATGCGTGCACACAGCAATCAAAACAACCTCGTCGACCGACGGTGACTTCTATTGTACCGCGGCACATCACTATAGTACAGACACCGAATTTAATCCACCCCCAATAGCGTTACCAAAGGTTTCGTAACACGGTCCGCGTTCAGAAGCGAACGGCGCAAAACAAGTCGCCGCCGTGCGTTAAACAAGCGCAGTGCTTTTCGGAATTCAGGATGCAAGGAAGTGATCGGTTTTCTATCAATTCTCTCATTGATAACAGGAGCAGAGGGAGCCTGAGTAGTGACGGAGAGGATGCACACGATATTTCTGGTCCAGAGGACGAATCTGCTCCAGAGGCAAGACATGCAGTGACATCTTTTACAGTGAAAGATATTTTGGACCCGCACAAGTTTAATGCTCCAAGGCGAAGGCCAAGTGAGAGTGATTCAGACAGCGAAAGCCCTAGTAGAGGAGAATCAAGAAATAATTCATCATGGCATCCATGGATGGCGGCGACCAGATTTAAGCGTTCACAAACCTCAAGCGGTAAGAGATCGATTGTCATAAAGCGATCCACTCTTTTGAGCAATACTTCTCCTTATCTCGTTCTATTTATTTGAATAAAATTATTGAGTTGCAGCTATAAAATATTTTTTATCTTAACTGCGGAGGTTTTGATTTATTTTTCTCGCCGTGCAACACGCCTAAAAGCGATTAAGAGGAAATGTTGGTCATTCAAATGATAGCCGGCATCGTTTCATTTATTCTCTCTTCTGACCACTGGGTTCACATTAACAACCATTTAGCTTAAAAGGTCTGCCACAGAAGCAATCAATTCGGTATAAAACGTTATGGTGAAGTATGTCTGGTTTCACTGTCGCTTTCTTTCACTTAATGTTTATAATTCTCCTCACCTAAATAAGCAGGCTACATTGATCTTGCTCGATTATTTCCTCTGGAAAGATCAGTTAACCAATTCTATGCAATATGTTATCTAAATTGCAGACGATTACTCGTCGCTCATTAGAAATAAAACTTTAAATCCACAGAATCTGACAAATGTATGGAAAAGGACAAGAACGAACACGATTCATCTAATCATCAAGAGAACGAAGAATGCAAGTCGACATCGGGGTCCAAATCAAAGAGAAAGCGAAGCGGCTCCGACAGATCAAAGGAAGGAAAACCACGACGAGCACGAACTGCTTTCACGTACGAACAACTCGTTGCTCTAGAAAACAAGTTTAAGAGTACTAGATACCTGTCTGTTTGTGAAAGACTGAACTTGGCTCTCTCCCTAAGCCTAACGGAGACACAAGTGAAAATTTGGTTTCAAAACCGACGCACAAAATGGAAGAAGCAAAATCCTGGAGTTGATGTTACTGCTCCACCACGGCCTACGACTTTGCCCCACGCACCATCTTTGGCTGGCTACGGAACCGGAATTCTGTGTACATCACAGTGCCCTACGCAAATGCACCACTATCCACACTATCAACCGAGCACAGCTCATGCTCTTCCGTGCATTATCAGACCGCATCCGACCTATGGACACATGTAGAAAAAGCAAAGCTGACCGAATCAATAAGAACTACTGAACTGCATCAAAGATGTGACACACTTCTACCACTGAAACTTGAAAAAAAAAAAAAAAAAAAAAAAAACAATCCACGAAATCTGCTTCAAAGGAAATCAGATTTTATCGTTGTTTGAAATCGGTATGATGTGTGACATGATCGTTCAACTATGCTCGTGGCACTCTTCCGCGAGGAGGGAAAGAAATTAACTTGGACTGTGGAATTATAAACTGCAAAGCCATTGTGCCGAGTACCAAACCAATTTCTTATCCATTTGCAGTCTGCTCCAAAGCTCTCTATAAATTAAAGTGGGTTTTTTTTTTATCTAATCATAGTATTTATATATATGAATTCCAAGGATATTCGAAAATTTTGTTTTATTTCGAAGCAGTCGCATGCGTTCAAGTTTTCATGTTTAAGTCTGAATTTTTCTTGATTAAATCAATGCCGATTGTTCGAGGCGGAAACTAGGAACAGAGGGAGCTGTTAAAATATTATCGTAAGTCAAATTTCTGAACTGTAAATACTGTACAAAAGCGAATGTAAAATAATCGACCTCTTGAAGTATCATTTACAAACGAAATTGCAATGAATGTTTCCAAGCAAGTTGAGAAATTAAGTTACAAACCAAAAGAATGTTTAACTTAAAATGTACCTTTTTCTTTAATTGTTATGAAGGAGAAGCTTAGTAAATAGCCTTTTTGGCCAGTTATGTTGGAAACTGAGAACATTCCATGAATAAAACTGGATTGGAAAAAGTTTTCTGCAGACAGCTGTTTTCACATTTCATGAACTGATTTCAGTACGGCAGCGTCGGTCGTCATAGTCGAAGGGAAATCGCCGAGGACTTCAAATGTTTGTTTAATAAGGTACAGAGAAACTTGTAAAGCAGTAGCTAAAAATAAGATATATCTACCACAGAATCATCTTTGGCTCAAACAAAGTGTTCAGTCCTTCTGTGAAAATTTGTTTTGCTAATTGGCAAAAAATTTTGCTTTGAATGCTACAATGAACCGCCTCCTTTGTTGATCCATTACGACCCAATTTGACCACACTGTGTTAGAGCGACAAAATGATCAAACTCACCACGACATTACTTATTTTCTTCGTACAAAAGATTTGTAATTCTCAGCAAATATTGAATTTACGACCACTTCCCGATGTCGGCTTTGTTTGAAAAAGATTTAGAGCGGAAAAGCCTTCATTATACAAGGTCTCCTTCAAAGTTCACCTGGTGGAAAATTACGCAAGTTATCAATCACTTTCAAAGAAAAACCTTGACATTCAAACGTAACTTCATTTCTATATTTTCAAAATAATTTCAGGCAAAAGGTGTTGACAAATCTTGTTTTCAAGGCGCGCATACTTCGTATCTATTCACTTTAGTCCCCATGTCTAATAAAGATCCTCTTCAAGTTCCTTTCCTAGTTTAATCGCCGTATTGTCAAAGCTTTGTCGGTTGAATCAAAAGAAAAAGGAAACTGGACCATTTAGTTCAACCATTTAGTGTGAACTTTAAAACTGAACATGATAAAGCTGCTAAGCTAAAAATAGGCTTTTGACACTGACAGAGATGAGTTACGTTAAAATTATACAAACATCATCTGTCCTTTCCTTTTCCTCTCATATCTAGCCGAAACTAATAAGATTCACTTTCAAACAGATTTCCAACCATTCGGTCGAGAGCTAGGCAGCTAGAGCTTTGGGATAGAATCTAAGCGTGACATGAATGATCTACTTTGGCTACAGTAAATTGAAAATCTTTCGAGTCTGCTTGTTCCAGAAGTGTTTGATTTGAAAGCACATGGACTAGAAAAAAGTTCTTTGTTGGGTCATGAATCTATGCTTCCATTGTTACTTCGTAAATGAATCCTCAAGCATTGTTCTTTGAACACCGATCATGATACTTTACAATAAATTGCAAATCTGAATTTCTGTTTGCTTTAACTTCACTTGTGTTTTGTTCTAGTCAGTTTTAGAAAATATCAGGAAAAGTATATTATCTCTCTGATTAACCCACAAAGTTATCAGAAACAACTCTGAGTGGATCTTCTGACGAGCATGCAATCACCTCTGAATGAATCTCATTTTTGGAACATCTCTGTCCGTTTAGAGGTGGTAACTTTCTTTCTATCTCGAAGCGATAAGTATATCACGACATCTTTAATAACCTAGTGCGGTGAGAGTGATACCAAACAATAAAAGCCGATTTCAAAGGACAAGATTAACGAGGCTGTCGTGAAGATGTTATCTTCCAAGCCTGAAGCTACTAAACTTATTTTGTGGTCGATATTAAGGTTATACTGGCGCCTTCAAGGGGACAAAGTACTGCTCAGTTCTCTTGTTTGACGAATTCTAATTTACTCCTGAGATGTTTGCGAGAGAACACTAACAACTTACGAGAAGCTCTGCACTAGTGGTGCAGTGTTATCAGTTGCATTTGCCAACAAAATAACGCCTCCTTCCACTCATGGAACAACGAGGCAGAAATCAGATTAACAATAGCGGGTGAGCGGGGTGAGTAGAACTGATTCCGCTGATGTTACAGCAATCATTTCGGATGATGACTTGTCCTGACTCACAGCCATCTATGTACTGAACTTGGACTGAAGAGACCTTAAGATCTCTTCGTCGCATAAATTCCTTATTGTTGGTTCATGGCTCTTCAAGTCTACACAGAGGAAATCTACTTCTCCTAGTTTATGAACATTGCTGACGTTTATACTCTTTGGAAGGTAAAGAGTATTGCAGGATTAAGAGAGAAATCAAGTCTTAAACCAAACAAGGTTTTTTCCGTCGGAGTATAGACGTAAAGGGTAGGTTAGAGAGAAGAGTAAGAAAGTAACATGCCCTTTATAGTTCATGAAATACGTACTCTGTCCAATACAAGCCATTCACAAAGACCAATTTAACCTCAGATAGTTTCAAATTAATTGTAAAATCACTGCATGGATACCTGGCACTTGCACCACTTATAACGAAGAGTGTTTAAAACGAAACTTACTCCACGAAAGTTAACGGTGCAAAACAATCGGCGATCTTACACTTCTTACAGCAACAAAGCATGGGCGCACCTTAAAACCGCCTGTTTACTTTCTCAACTGTCCCTTGTAAGTTCAGAGCTATACACTGTCTACGGTGTCAGAGAAAAAAAATATTGTGCCTCAGCTGTGAAAGCAAGTCCAACAGAACTCTTCATTAAACTTAGCAGTTACGATTCTTAATCTCCTCTTCTACTGATTACTGACACCCATCAAGTTTTTAGTGGAAGGAACATACTCTTTTCTGTTATCTAAGTTAGTAAGTTGTAATACCCTTTGTGAGTATGTTACATGCCCATTCCTATAGTTTTAGTCAAAGATAATGACAACAGAATTTTCTAGAAGAATTAAACTTCCTCTCCATATGGGAGAATCATCATGTTACAATTATCTAGTGGTTAAAGCTTTATGTTGCCCTTTTATTTGGCTAGATTTCATTGCTCAATCTAAGCAGCTTTTTAAGAATGATGTACATAAATACATGTATGGAAAACACGTATTTTAACTTTTCTACAAGTTTGTGAAATCGTTTGACTTATGTGCGCAAAGCTCGAGATCAAGAACAAAGGTGGAGGACTTGAAACGTAAATATTTCCCAAAGAGAATAAAATTTTCTCAAATGCACACAAAAATTTCAAAACAAAAAAATAATTTTCCTGCCGCAGGGCAATGCGTTCAACGACACCATCACATTTGGGTTAGCTAAAAAACCTCGTCGTTTTCCAGCTGGATGCAGACGGAGGATGCTGTATCAACTGAGCTAGGTTATATATATCTTTTGTCTTCTATACTTCAATAACAATGTAATCTATCATTGATCAAGTGGTTAAGTATAAACAAAATTCCAAAAGAATAAATATTTAATTAAAAGAAGAGGTTACGTTTCCTAATAGTACCTCTCGTTTTCTAAACATAGACTATCACATGTTCCAGCAGTTTGTCTGATATAAGTTCGAAAAATATCATACTTCATTTTGGCACGTAGCATAGTTCTTAAATAAAAACAAATAAGAGATAAAAACGACTAACTTCGTGTTTTTCCTCGCTGAGACTCACTTTAGCAAATCACACATAATGTCAAACATATACTTATTACGGCGACAAATGAGAATTTCAAACCCATCCGGACAGTAAAGCCTTGTACAAAAGTGGTTTTTATCACCATTAATGGAATAACGTTTCCTCGAGATTCACACAGCCTTCATAAAAATTTAGCGAAGTACCTGTTTCTTTTGAATTCACGAAAAACTTCGAAGCAGCGTGACTCACAACAGGTCTTTCGCTTACGACAAAGGTATAGATTTTCGATTAATCGAGAATGCATATGTTTGCTTTTGAACCTACTCTGTGCAAATACCTGATTAAGTCGGGCTTTTTTCTTAAGCGTTTAAACACAACAACTATTAAAGCAGCTATTTGTTAATATCTGAGAAATCCCATTTGATTTTGTTGCCTTCGAAGAGAAGAGCAAACATTGCACCTTGATGTCTGGGATGTACTTCATCTAGTTTACGAAAGATCTCTCGAGGCATTAATAAACTACTATGTCTTGGAAAAAAGTTTTTAACCCCTGAACGACTTAGATAAATAAAGTGAATGGTGTAGTCGATTAAACTTTTTATATCCCGAGACAAGGTAAGCCGTCGGCAAACATAAAAGGAAAATAAGCCATTATTCACACGCCCAAGTGCTGTGTTGATTTGTGCGTCGGCTATCACTGCGCCTCAAGTAAAGAGGGAATTAGTCGCGTCAAACAGTTTAATTAAATAAGTCTTTGAGAGCTAGGTAAATACATTTAATGAAAAAACATACAAAAGCTTAGAATAATTTAGGGACTTAACTCGTTGACTATTACCCGCACCCGTCCCTACGCTTGATTGTTTCCGCTCCAATCTCACCGGCTGTGGATTTAGATACAATTTACGACATATTTCTACACTTAAGACTAGAAACGTGTTCATCAACTTGGGAAATGTTACAAGCCATGTTGTTGCTGTTTAGTTCTCTCTTGTTAACCTAATGAATCACATTGCTTTGCTAAAACACTCCTTTTCATGCTTCTATTCTTAAAACGTTATTTGACTGGTGTGAAAAACTGTTGCTACATAAACATACAATAAAAAACGCCTTGTGCTTCGTTAAATCATGGCACCTGATTGTTACAGCGGAAATATCAGCTGTGTTTTCTAAAAAGGCTGGTTTTGTTTGCCAACTAAACACGTGTTCATATTTTTTTAAAAAATTATGCTTTGTGGTGTTTTTCATACATCCCACTTCTTTAAGCTCATTAATTTATCTTAGTTTTTGTTCCATAAAATGTACCGAGAAGGTCTTCTTCAAGACTTTAAGACACTTTATTTCCTTCCTTTTGATATAACACGTCTGCGGTTACGGTCTGTCCTTTCTACGAAATGATTCTTAAAAGACTTTTGCCGGTAAAACGTCCCGACAATCACAACGATCATGTCGCAAATTGGCCTGTGCTGCCTAAAATCATCTCCGAAATTCAGGGACCGTGAAAATCCCAGTCACCTACACCGATCTCTTTCCCATTTGAAAGAACTCAGTGTGGCTTCGAACTGCACCTCTGTCGGAGAGTTAGCAAAACAAACTCGCTAACACTCGTTAAGAGAAAAGTAAATAGACCCCATTGACGTGTTGGCCAAAATAAGTGGTTAAGAATATTGTTTGCCTTTGTCAATCGCTGTTTGTCTAAACTTTTTTATTAAATCGTGCAGAGATAATGAATTCTATAGTGATTACGTGTATTTTCTCTTAGTGGAAAGTTGATCTCGCACTGTTAAATCTTAAGAGCTTTTTAAGTGTAAGACATAATACACCCAGTCGCGTAAGGCAGGGGTCGCACTAGTGCTTTTAGTGTTTACATTGGACATAGAATCTGTCATAGCATGCTTGCGACAAGTGCGACCCTTTTGTCGCGTCCAGACATAACTATGTCCGAAGGACCTAAAGATCAAACAAGCCGATGTCCTGCCTCAAAGCAGGTCATATCTTGTCTAATGGCCTTAAAATAACAATTTTTTATTTTTCTTCTGTCGTCAACGTCAATCAAATCTGAAATACGGGCAGAAATTGGAGTTTTGTAATTCTGCAAAGGCAACACGTGTGCACTGCTAGCTACAGCTATCGGGTTAAAATTTTAGTCACCGGTTTTCTCTTCAAACGTTTTATCATGGCGAATTTCAACCCAGTAATTGACATCCGTCGACGTCAGTTTAAAGCGGCAAGGGCCAACATTTGCCGTTGGCGAATGTTGTACAATGCGTACAAACCAATAAGGTTTTGTACATTGAACAAATTAAACAGAGATTGAAGAAATGTCGCTAATAAAACTAGCACCAGCCTCATGTCTAAAAATTATATTTGGCGCTCTTTTCGCGCGTGAAATATAAAGAGTTGACAGACTGGTTTCAAATATCATTTATGTCGCGCAAGTGCGACCTCCATGACTCCCGTGGTGTAAATGTCGCGACATATTTATGGGACAACTTATGACGCGACATAAGAAAAATAAGACCACAGTGCGACCCCTGCCTAAGGTATACACACATGCAAAAACCGCAATCAAAGTTTATAATGGCGTGCGTTAGAGAATCGTGAACTCTGACGCACAACTTTCCGAACAAATATTGTACGAGCGGCTTTTCTAATAGTGAGTTCTCCCTTAGGGGCTACGTATCTTACTAAAACCTGCGGTTTTCTTAAATGCTGCATAAACCAAGCTTCATTATGCCGCAGTGTAATAAATAGGTATAAATTGGCGTCAATCAATTTGATCTATTAATTGTGGCCCTCAATCGAGACCCGGCGACCTTTAAAAACAATTGCCCGCCACCCATTGTGCAATGTTTACAATACCCCAGCGTTTG